AATTTTAAGTTTTAAATATAAGATAAAATTAAATATTATAAAATAGTTATTATTTATTAGATTATTAATGTTAATATTAATTTATCATTTTTTGACTAAATAATTAACTAATATTAAATTTTTAAAAGAAAAATTGAGAAAATATTGAAAATTTTTAATTTTTTTAAAAATTATGTTCTCCTAACCTAATATGAAACATATGTGGATAGGTTTATGAGTCTATCCCTCTAACCTAAAATCCAAAATGACCCAACCTAATATATTTTAGAATTTGAAATGACACAATTTAAATCCACTCGATCTGATCTGTTTGCCGAGTCTTCTTTCAAACAATCTCATAATGCAAAATACAAAAGTTGGAGCTTGCGAAAAGCAACTTTCTTAAAGGTGATTTTAATTTTTTTAGAAGCTGATTCGAACTTCTATAATGTTAGTATATGAGGTTAAAAATCTGTTTTTAAACTTTTAAATTTGATAAACTTAATCAATTATTGGCGAAGAAGGTAAACTTAATCAAATGTAAAACTTTTATGTTAAAATTGACAGAAATATAATGTTTTTTTTATACAATACAATATAACAAATTAACTATTTTTATTTAAAAGTCACATAGGACTGAATGTAGTTGCATTTATTTAGTGTAACAATATATTTTAGAGGGTCTTCAGAGAACAAATGCAACGTTATATCATATAGTGGAGTTAGTGTCGGTAGTACATGTCTTCATTTCAATTTTTTAAAAAAATATATCCAAAAATTTATTTTTAAATTCATATTTTTAAAAATTATCTATTAAATTAAAAATTTTATTTGTATAAATCATTTATGTAAAATTTTATATTAATCTAACTTTTTTAAATTATTTGGTAAAAAAAACTTTAATTATTTATTAACATATGTTTAATAGTGTTAAATTTATGTAATTAACAAATTTATTAGATCTATAAATTAATTTAAAAATCGACATGCATAATTTATAAAAATAAAATTTTTGAAAAACTTACATGCCTGTAAGTGAATCGATCACAACTCCAGGTTTATATTAGAAGATGCAAACAAATAAAAAGAATCAAATCATAGTGACGAAGGAGTCGTTAATCCTTTTTCTTGTAGTCATCATGAAAACTCATTATATTCAGGTGCCAGAGAAGAATAAAAAATGTTCACAAAATCTGTTCATTTTATTTCGTTCCATCTCTGCATTTCATTAACTTGGAATGTGCATAGTTAGGCATATAATTGATCCAACTAGAAATATTTTATGCACTTAAAAGGTATTTGAGTCTGGATCATGGGTAGCAGATGGTATCTCTGTAAGGATGTACCTAAATATATAATGACTAATGGTATTTAATTAACAAATGACCGTAGAAAAGAAAAAATGGAAGTGTACAAGTTAATTTTGACCATCAATTATTCATAAAGGTGAAGAGTAATTAAACTTGTGGGAATTTTCGAAACACAATCATAAGCGCCTGTACAAACGTAGCAATTCATTGTCCTTGCCAATTATGGCCTTCAGGACCTGTTTGGTTGCATTGCAGTGGAAGAACGAAGAATTTAGGAAAAAAATTAATAATTTAAGAGTAAGAATTTATTTATACATAGATGTTATATATTATATTTATATAAAATTTTAATAATTCATATTTTTATTTTTAATAGTTGAAATTTATTTATAATTATTAAAAATAATTATTCATTTTATCTAAAAAATATAATAAATTTTAATTATTAAAAATAAAAAATAAAAAATTAAAATTTTATATAAATATAATATGAAAGATTTATATATGAATAGATCACTGCTCATAATTACCTAATTATTTCAAATTTTGCTACTGAGTGATCAGTTAATTAATTTCCATACTTCTTTTGAAATTTCATTTTTCATGACTTTGAGTAAGTAAAATTTTCTTTTAGTGGATTAATCCCTAGCACCAAATTGGAAGTTGGCAAGATAGCAGAATTCGGTGTTATCGAGGCAGCGAATAAGCAACAGCTTTTACCTAACATTTTGGCCGGCCTGATAGGGTAACCAGACATAGCCTCCCTTAAACAATTTTCAAGCTGCTATCATGTGATATTCTGTTCATATTTGGTTGAAATTTTTAAATAGACTAAGGATGTCCCTTTCCTAGCTTTTTCAGATAATTGAAATATTATTGTTCCCCCGGATAATGCCTTTGCCATGCTCCACCAGCTTAGTTCGCTGCAGGTCCCCAAGAAAGCAAGAAGGAGCTGGAACCTCACAATCTCAACAGCTGCTTGGTCCATTTGGGTAAGTAGAAATGGTATTATTTTTTAAAAACAGCCTTGGAATGAAAACAGATTGATTGACTTAATTCAATCTAGAACTTTCTGCTGGATCAAAGGAAACTCTACCTGTGCTAAGTTCAATTTCGTTGACTGGTGTCAATTCCCACTCCATTGTGCAGTTGATTTTTAACTTATTGAACTTTTAATGTAATGTATGGGTGAGTACCCATTGTACTCTTTTATTAATAACACTTTT